ATATATATATATATATAAACACAGATAATCTGATGGTGAGTACCGCTTTAAGCCATGGGGTAAAGATTGTGTGTCTATGTCATTGTTTACTCATGCGCTGTTATGTAGAGTCTGGATAGGACGATAGTCCTTCTAGATAGATGGCCCAACATCAAATTCTGGCTCCTGTCAACACATATACTTCCGTGAATACTGTAGCACATTAGCGGCTGAAACGTAGGATATATGCTACTTAGTTAATTAATGTCTGGTAATAAAGTAGTAATCATACTCAGATATTTCTACAGTAGTTTAAAATAATTGAAAATTGCTATGCAAAAAAGTTGTTAGAGGATTAACTCTTCAGTTGAGTATTCAGAGCATTCGTTTGGCTTACACGCAGTATTCCAAGTTACAAGTTCAATTTGGAAATAGTGGTATCTGAAATTAGACTCGAGGACAGGCTGTTTTTTAAAAGGGGGAAAACGTAGTATTTAGGTAGTTTGATTAGTTAAAAGGTACCATACTATAGTTGCTAGAGGATTAACCCTTTAGCTCAGTTGGCATGCAAAAAATATCGGGTTCTGCCCTTAGAAATATAAGATGTTGAACTACCACACAGGTTTATATCAGTCAGTAAGGGCATATGTGTGTTTCAAGGATATATTAGCCAATAAGAGCATACATGTGTTTCAAAGGTATTCAATTATATATAATAATGTGGATGGAAGATGTCGGGTAGATGGATATCAATACAATATAATAGTGCATTAGGTACGAACCATTTCAAGTGCATGCAAAATAGTTTTCTTTCAAGCAGTTATGTAAAGAAATTAAAGAATTTTGTTAGTAAGGTAGCTTTTTTAATATTTTCTCTTTTTGAGGACTTCTAACAATGAGATTCTGTAAATCTGATATCGAAATTAGTACATATAATTTCAAACTTACAGGAGAAGGCAATTCCAAATAGACCAGCACAAAAAATCACAGCTGATAACCTGTTTAAATTGAAATAATTAATATAAATATTCTTTCGTTTGCTTCATTTTAATGTTATTAATGTAGTTAATCATTAATCTGGGCTAGAGGCAGATGGAAACTTAGCTGTTAAGCACAAAGCTACACAGTGGGCTATCTGTGCTGTGCCCACCACAGATTTGGAAACATGGATTTTAGCGTTATAAGACTTCAGCTTTACCGTTGAGCCATTAGGTGGCAAGAAAAGAGAGGACCAAAAGTTAAATTGTAAACAACTGGTTTGTCCAGGTTCGAGTCTTACTAAGTCAACAAGACTATATCATATTGTACCGTATAAAATTATTAACTAAGAAGATAGTAGGTAGTAAATGTGGTACTTTTTGTTTGCTGTTTAGCACAAAGTTAAAAAATCAGCTATCTGTGCTGTGCTTACGACGGGTATCGAAACACGATTTTTAGTGTTATAAGACTTCAAGACTTACTGCTGTGCTTCTATATAACAAACTGGTGTAACTTGTATATCCCCAGAGTATAATTTCATAAAGTGAAATTTAAATTAACAACTGAAATATTCAGGGTCAAAAGCGAAGCCTTTTTTCCGATAGTAAACAGCCACGTTTCATGTTAAGTTCAGAATCTAATAAACAGACACGTTTCATGTTAAATTCAGAATCTATTAAACAGTCACGTTTCATGTTAAATTCAGAATCTATTAAACAGCCACGTTTCATGTTAACTTCAGAATCTATTAAACAGTCACGTTTCATGTTAACTTCAGAATCTATTAAACAGCCACGTTTCATGTTAACTTCAGAATCTATTAAACAGTCACGTTTCATGTTAACTTCAGAATCTATAAAACAGCCACGTTTTATGTCAACTTCAGAATCTACTAAACAGCCACGTTTCATGTTAAGTTCAGAATCTATTACCGAGTTTCCCTGATTTATCGAAACTTCATTTGATAAAAAATTATTGTTGTACACTAGTCACGAGATTCCTCCCATTTTTCGATGCTCAAAGTCTCTATCACACTGATTTCTCTCTCTCCCTGTTCATGAACCTATAGCCAGCCATACATATCTGTACGTTCTCAAATAAAACAAATCGGTTGTAAGATATCATGTCCAATAGGCATTAAACTCTTCTGTTCCACTGGTTTTGTATTACGTGCGTTAAAACAACAAAGTGAATAAACAATAAACTACATAGCTAGAAAACTGAATTCGTGTGTTAAAACAACTATATACATATAGTAAAGAGTTAAAAGAAATAAATTTAAGTGTTAAAACAACAATGTCGATATACAAAAAAACTCTCCCATGGCGAGTAAGCGGTAAGTTTACGATCTTACCAGATTAAAATCAGGGATTAGATTAACCGCAGTGGACAGAACGTAGACAGCCCATTGAGTAGTTTTGCGCTAAAACAGCAATGTTAATATATAAAAACTGTAAGTTAAAAAAAATTACGTGTTATAACACTAACATAATTACATAAAAACTGTTGAGTTAAAAGAAATAACATAAACATACGAAAATTGTGAGTCAAATGAAATAAAATTACGCGTTATAACAACAACATAAATACACAGAAACTGCTGAGATAAAAGTAATAAATTATCGCGTTAAAGAGAAACAATTCGAATCTATAAAACTTACAATTAAATAATAAATAAACTCATGTGTTAAAGCAGTAACGAGAATATACAAAAACTAAAATTAATAGGAATAAATTCAAGTGTTAAAACAATAACATAAGTACATACAAGAACAGCAGTGTTAAAAAGAGATAAATTAACGTGTTAAAACAATAACGTAATTGTACAAAACTTAAAGAGTTAAGAAGGAATAAATTCATGCGTTAAAACAACAACGTGAAAATATATCAAAAACTGTAAGGTTAAAAGAAATAAATTTATGTGTTAATACAACACGAATACACGTCGCTTTTCGGAATTAACTAAATTAACGGGTTAAAACAATAACGTAATTGTACAAAACATAAAGAGTTAAGAAGGAATAAATTCATGCGTTAAAACAACAACGTGAATATATATCAAAAACTGTAAGGTTAAAAGAAATAAATTTATGTGTTAATACAACACGAATACACGTCGCTTTTCGGAATTAACTAAATTAACGGGTTAAAACAACAAAACAAATAAATAAAAATAGTGTAATAAAAACGAAGTAACGACAATAATGGACATATTAAGCATTAGTCACATTCTTGCCCCAAAACATATACGTCACTATACATTATGTAGGTAAGGTACTATCCTAGGATATTTAGATATATCATGTTTTGGGCTGCAGAAGCAAATTCCATTTTAACGTGTACAAGGTAGGGCAGTTTATTTTTAACAGTTTTAGGTTAAAAAAGTTCAAACAGTCATTATACCTCTGACCCCTACCTGCTCATTAACCCGTTCAGCTGAGTACGTGTTGTTATAGCTACAGTAAATGTGTAGAAATTTAGTTACACCCAGTATCACTCATGGATCTTGCATCGTACTCTAGAACACAGGTCTTTTACATGGACACATGTGCTACCTACGCGTGCACTTCATACACGGGACGCGTTTATACGCGCATAACAGAAACGTTTAGTTGACTGATTTCGTATTTGCTCAAGAAAGATTCTTGTTTCTTTCACCAATGTGTTAGTATGTTAAGGGTGATACGTATAAAAATTTCCTATAACACACAGTATCCGAAAATTACGTTAACAAAACTCTATTGAACCACCCCTACTATTGAAATGATTTGCCTTTGTTGGTTATAAATTTACCGGAAATAAACGTTATTAAACCTGTTAACATAATTCAGTGTTTCGCGTCTTGTTCGATGAAACAGATCGTTTGTTAACACTCTTAGTTTGTTCCAAAGAATCGGTCGTATTTCCCTCTTTAAAATGATATATTTTATCACTAAATTAAAGTTGGGAGACATGCATATAAATATAACTGAAATAAATATAACTATAGATCAAGACATAATGTTGGGTAAATGTTCCACAATTTCATACAAAACCACAAAAGAGCTATCTACACATTTCCGTCCCTAATTTAAAATAGCTATCTACACATTTCCGTCCCTCATTTAAAAGAGCTATCTACACATTTCCGTCCCTAATTTAAAATAGCTATCTACTCATTTCCGTCCCTCATTTAAAATAGCTATCTACACATTTCCGTCCCTAATTTAAAATAGCTATCTACACATTTCCGTCTCTAATTTAAAATAGCTATCTGCACATTGCCGTCCCTCATTTAAAAGAGCTATCTATACATTGTCGTCCCTAATTTATAAGAGCTATCTATACATTGCCGTCCCTAACTTAAAAGAGCTATCTACATATTGCCGTCCCTAATTTAAAAGAGCTATATATACATTGCCGTCCCTAATTTAAAAGAGCTATATATACATTGCCGTCCCTAATTTATAAGAGCTATCTGCACATTGCCGTCCCTAATTTTTTGGGCTTAACAAAGATAAGAGAGGAGGCTCCTGTTCGAATAGTGGGATTTGACCTTCGCCCTCACACCGCATTAATGGTTAATCACCAAGACACACAGAACCCAGGGTACATTTTAGGCTTAGTTTGATATCCTTTAGTTCCATATTGTAATTTGCAAATCTAAACAATCTTTGTATCCATTCAAGCTATTATTATATTTTATACTGTATATATATATATATATACACACATATATGCATACTTTTCGTCTTTTACGTCATACCATGTTTACTTAAATTACATCCTAGTTTCGTCTTCTCGTGTGTAAACAACCGGGAAAATTATGAATTAGTTACAGCTTCTGATCGAGTAACACAATGTTACTATTGTTTAATAGATATACTTTACTTCAGTAAGCATTAGATAAATGAAAAAAAAAATCATATATTTGACTGGACATATTTGAGCCTTGTATATTTCTATCATTATTTGTATGTATGTTGTTGTAATGCTACTTTGTTCAGTACGACTTATGTTATTTGTATTTTAAATATTTATTGTTCAACTGGAAGTAATTTAACAATACAGTGTATCTGGCACGGAGACTACATGTTCTCTTAAACACCTAACCCTAAACATCCTTGGAAAGCAAGTCTTTACCAGCTGTTAAAACATGATACAATTATAATATTATGCATGGGCTCACCGCCAAGTAGTTCCTCCTTATGACTTTGCCATGTGCGTTTGTCATTTGTAGAAGCAATCAACGTTACCATAACAACTCTTATGTTTATACATTTTCATTAAGACCGTCTCCTAGTTACTGGTTTCAACACTTGGTCACTGTTGCCCTCTGGAGACACGAAATTAGGTGACAAGGTTCAATAATGACCTGTGATTCAATTTGCCTTCTTGTTTGTCTGCGTCGGTGTGAGCCAGCGAGGCGCGCTCGCCCTTGCTCACGGGTGCTGATTGCTCTTGAGCTGAATCGGGAAAGGAGGAGTGTGCAAGGTTGATTGACGTAGTTACCACAGCAACGTCAGCACTCCGCTCTTGACTAGGCGGAGGAACTTCAGCGAGAGCCAATCACAAACATGAAAACGGTCGTTACTGGCCTCTAGTTAATGATAATATCAACATGAATCACACACACGGAGGGTGGTGGCTTGTTTTCAAGAGTTGATGCTGCCAGCGGAGACACGTTTGGCCCAGACGACTAGTAGATGCTTTGAGGATTCATCTTGGTTTTGCTCAGCTGACGGAGTCCATGCGCCAGACTTAAAGGCTCCTCGAGAACGAGAAACTTGTCTTCTCTGTAGATTAGTTCCGACGTTACCATACTTTTACCATTCTGGGTTAGCCCCACAAAGCAAGCAGAACCCATGATTGTAGGCCATATGAACGACAGTGTGGCTGGCCTCCACCATTCCGTACTCCCCACCATGTTGGCTCAAACTTCATGCCCAAACGTCAATCCTTCTTCTCCCAGCCCTATGCTTCCGTCGTTCGGATTCACGCAAGAACAGGTAGCTTGTGTCTGTGAGGTGCTTCAACAGTCCGGTAACATGGAGAGGCTTGGCCGGTTCCTCTGGTCACTACCGGCCTGCGAACATCTTCAAAAAAACGAGAGCGTGCTAAAAGCCAAAGCCTTGGTCGCCTTTCACCGAGGCAACTTCAAAGAACTGTATCGGATCCTGGAGAGCCACAACTTCTCGCCGGCATCACACTCCAAACTACAGGGGCTCTGGCTCCAAGCTCATTACACCGAAGCCGAGAGGATCCGCGGCCGACCTCTGGGTGCGGTCGGCAAGTACAGAATCCGTCGGAAGTTCCCGCTACCTCGAACGATCTGGGACGGGGAGGAAACTAGTTACTGCTTCAAGGAAAAGTCACGGAACGTGCTCCGCGACTGGTACTCGCACAATCCTTACCCTTCTCCGCGTGAAAAGCGCGAACTAGCTGATGCGACTGGACTGACCACTACCCAGGTTAGCAACTGGTTCAAAAACAGAAGACAGAGGGACAGAGCGGCTGAAGCAAAAGACAGGTATGGCGATTTCCCTGTTTGTCTTTTAACACTGCAATGAACACATTTACAGCATAGGTGCATATTTGTAAAAGGAAAATGGTCATAAACACAGCCAGCCAGCCAGCCTCAAGGACAAATTCATCATCTTTAACGCCAGCCAGTAAAACTGTTATACGAGTGTAAGGACGAGGGCGAACTTTCAGCCACAGGCAATTGCGTAATAGGTTTTCTAGTACAAAGCTACACTGTTAGTTGCTGATGTTAAACACAACTAGTATTTGTTTATACTCGTCAATAAAACACGTGCCACGCCGAATAAAAAAATGTTAAATGATAAAAAAGATATAGTTAAATGTAAAGCGCAATATAAGGACAAAGAAACACTTTTTATTTCTCATATTAGTTCGTGTTGTTGTTGTTGTTTTTTTATATAAAAGCTAATTTTGTTTTCAGGTCTGAGGCATAAATGAATAAGTTTGTGTTAATCACTTGTGAACAGATATAGCTCTCAGCAAAAAATATCTCGGAAATTCTTCGTTACGAAGAGATGGGTTTTTTTTTAACTTGTCATCCACTAGCAACTAAAGTGCGCATGAGCAGATCGTTGCTTAAGAGTCCAATGTATTCTAATCTTGAAAACAATGTGAAACTGTATTAAAATAATCCGTGAATCCACTCTATAGCATCAGACTTAAAATTAGGATAACAGATAAAAACAATAATAACATCCCAGATACATGAAATAACCGTCAAAACTTCTAGCACGCGACTGTAGTGTACTGGAGCGTCTCAAGCACAAATACTTGTCAGCTGGCACGTGACGATTACTGTTCTGACACGTGATAGATTACTGACATATGACACTTTCTTGACACATGACAGTTAGTTTAGTAGCACGTGACAGTTACTCTACTGACTTGTGATAGTTACTCTACTGACACATGACAGTTTATTAATATGTGATAATTACTCTAGTGATACGTGACAGTTACTCTAGTAACATATGACAGTTACTCTACTGACTTGTGATAGTTACTCTATTGACACATGACCGTCACTATACTAACATTTAAAAATTACTTTAGTGACACGTGATAGAATATATATCATTTGAAGTTTTGAATAACTGTTTTGTTTTTAAAGAATGTACTGACATTCCCTCTTCTAATAACTGTCACACCTAACACAGTACTAAAACTGAGAATTAAAGTAACAACTCCTAAGAGAGTAGTATACTGTGCGACTTTCACAACTATATCTCTGTGAATATACAGAAAGATAGGTAATATATCTCTGTGAATATACAGAAGGATAGGTAATACATCTCTGTGAATATACAGAAGGATAGGTAATATATCTCTGTGAATATACAGAAGGATAGGTAATATATCTCTGTGAATATACAGAAGGATAGGTAATATATCTCTGTGAATATACAGAAGGATAGGTAATATATCTCTGTGAATATACAGAAGGATAGGTAATATATCTCTGTGAATATACAGAAGGATAGGTAATATATCTCTGTGAATATACAGAAGGATAGGTAATATATCTCTGTGAATATACAGAAGGATAGGTAATATATCTCTGTGAATATACAGAAGGATAGGTAATACATCTCTGTGAATATACAGAAGGATAGGTAATATATCTCTGTGAATATACAGAAGGGTAGGTAAGTAGAAATATAGATACCATAAGAATCACACACGTATTTATACACTAATGTCCAAAAGTCATGGAGCAAATTCTTCATTTACTAGATTGTCTCTAGAACGTGTCCGAGATTCTGGACTACCAGATCCCCAAAAGTTCAGGAACAAACTATTTGTTGAGCACTAACAATTTGCTGCATGACTATTGGACATTAGTGTATATGTATAACACTTGTCGATAGCCCAAAATCTCAGACACTTTTTAGAGACAGTTTAGTAAAAGAAGGATTTATTCCTTGACTTTTGGACATCAGTGTGTACCGTATTGCCCCTAATTAACGCCCGTTTCCGGTAATAGTAACCCAACATATAATCCTCTACTGTAATCCATGACCCTTAGTGGCACAGCGGCATGTCTGAGGACTTACAACACAAAAAACCGGGTTTCGATACCCGTGGCGGGGAAAACACAGATAGTCCATTGTGTAGCTTTGTGCTTAACTTCAAAACCAACTATAATCCACTTTTATTACTGTAATTTTGATTTTAAAAAACAAATACACACACAACAAATCAACAAATCACACGTGAAAAATAGAATCCGAAACTGCACAAGTACTATAATTAGCACCCTCCCCTTTTGCAGTTTGCAACGCCCCGGAGGGCGTAAACTAGGGATAGTACGATATGTATAACATTTGCCGGAAGCCCAAAATCCCTAACACATTCTAGAGCCAGTCTGGTAAAAATGAAAGTGTTATAATCCTTTTGGTCTGAATTGGTTTTACCAGATATATTTTCATATGTAGATATGTATATATATATATATATATAGTATTGGGAAGGTGACGTGATTTAAATCTTCAAATAATAGTAAAGTTGTTTTAGTCTACCCTGTATATATAGATGTATACCTGTAAAGCATAATTTTTTGTGTTTTTTCACTTCTGTTTTGCAAACACCTTCTGACTATAAGTCTGCTTTTTGAAGGGTAAATAACGTTACGAATTTTACAGTTCGACGTAAAAACATTATCAAGATTGTTCCTGAAATGTTATAAGTGAAAACGTTCCATAGTTTCAAATTGGTATTTATAAGACAAACCGATGAGGTAACGCCTTTTACCAATACGTCATTTAGCCTATTTTCGGTTAACACGTTTCCTACGTCTATCACTTTTTACATCTTATTTGGTAGTGTGTTTGACACGTTTTCGAGGAGTCAAACTATCATCACTCCGAGCGAAGTGAGAACAGATTATAACTTCGATATTATCTGTAGAATGAATCTACCCCACCTCAACATTCAGATGTGAAAAAATGACAAGAATATCAAACAGTTTCGACAAGGAAACACCTGGTGTTAGTAGTTACATCAGACACAGTTTTTAAAAAGATGGATGAGATTTGAAGTTTAGTATGTAATCATGATAGAATCTGTAGTAAGAGTAGAATATGGCCTAGTGTTTTGAGTTCCCTGGTTGCCACTTCGCACAACTGTGGTTCGTGTCCCATTGTCGCCACAACGCACTTAGCACTTTGGACTCGTGAGTGCGTTATAAGAGTAACGGTTTGAGACAGATATGTGCAGACAAATAACTCTCTGTGTAGCTTTGCTCGAAAATTTTGAAAATAAACAATAATCCGCAAAAATAAATAAATAATAATAATGAAATACACCTATCTGTTATCAGTTAGCAAGTAAACATTTAATTGGATAACTTTGCTTTTACACTTAATTGTAAACATCTTTTTTTAGGTATATGTTAGGATATTTGATGCATTTAGAAATACACGAGTTTTATTATGAAATAAAGAAACGAAGGTGGGTAAGGTCAAAATATTCGCGATATTTTTTTTCCACAACAGTGACGTCAAATAGAAGGTACTTATTTTACATGATCGTATAACACAAATCAAACGTAAGGATAAAATTAACTTACACAAGCGAGCGTTAATTCATAAACAATGAATGTATTTGTGTGTGAAAACATCTAAAGATATGACCTACCCGAACAGCTTCAAATGTATAGGGCAATATAATGTATTTACATATAATTGTGTGAAAACATCTAAAGATATGACTTACCCGAACACACAATTATATGTAAATACATTATATTGCCCTATACATTTGAAGCTGAAAAAAATCTAAAGTTATGACCTACCCGATCACACAATTATATGTAAATACATTATATTGCCCTATACATTTGAAGCTGAAAACATCTGTACTTATGATTTAGAATTATTAAGTGAGATTTAAAAATAATTAATAACTTGTGTGATTTTCAAATAACTCATAACGTGTGATTTACAAGTAACTCATAACATGTGATTTGCAGTAATTCATATAAATAGTGTTATTTAAAACTAACTTATATAACTAGTGTGGTTTGAAGTAACTCATATAAATAGTGTGATTTAAAAGTAACTCACAACTAATGTGGTTTAGAAGTAATTTATATATGTGAATTTGAAGTGACTCACAACTAATGTGGTTTAGAAGTAATTTACATATGTGAATTTGAAGTGACTCACAACTAAGTTAGATTTTTCAGCATTGTTTTGTAAAAACTCTATGTTCACTAACGGCATGAGATAGATTTATACATGGAGTTAAGCGAACGTATATTTCTTCTGTGTTTTAAACTATACTTTAAAAAATTGTATATAGATAGAAAGATACTTTATGCGACAAATGGACGATCAGAAACCCCAAGAATTATGCAAATCCATTCTTAATTTGTAACTGTTGACAAGAGAAATGGTAATCAGTCAACAAACAGCGCCTGTTGCCTATTAACCGGACACTGCATGGGATTGCCTCTAGCAGTTTAAAGTACAGAACGTGTTGAACGACATATCATGGCTTGAACTATGGACCTTTGGATCTAAAGCCCAGCACGCTAACCATAATTCGTCTTGTCAATTGTGCTATAAAGTATTTAAATCAGTCTGGCCCCCAGTGGCACAGCTGTATGTCTGCGAACTTACAACGCTAGAAACCGGGTTTCGATACCCGTGGAGGGCAGAGCATAGATACCCAATTGTATAACTTTGTGCATTAACTTCAAAGTAAGAAAAAACACACGAAAGAACCAGCCTGTGTGGACTTTGACGAAAAAAAAAGACAATTTATTAAAGTTTTGGATCAACTGTGATAACCAACAATGTAATAAACATTTGTATACACGTTTGACTTGTTTTAATATATTATTTTAGAACAAGTGGACTGTGTGCTGTTTGTTTGTTGTTGACACTTATCGCCAACAAGTCACAGACTCCTACTGTGTCCATATATATAAAACCTGGTACCACCTTGCCATTTTACCTGCTGTTTATACAC